GAACCAGGGACCTCTTGATCTGCAGTCAAATGCTCTACCACTGAGCTATACCCCCTGGCTTCGCACCTTTCACAAGGAGATTTTAAAAACGTTTCTGCAGAGGGCCGAGGTTCTATGTCCGCTGGTTAGAGACTCTTACTTGACAGCCCCCCGCGCACCTTCACGTGCCTGCCGAGGGCTGTACCGGGAGTTAGGCAGAATGAATTATGATAAATACGATTACTGCAGAGAATTAAGAACTCAGAAAAATACACCCAGACAGGGAGCAGTTACTCACACGGTGCACAGCCCCTGCGGTTCCCCGATACTGGGGGCCTCGGTACCTCGAATAACGGAGCTCAGAAAGCAGCCCTCGCTGCACAGCACAAGCTCACAAGACCCAAGGAGATGTCTCCATCCTCCTCCTGTGCCAAATTTGGCAAAAGGAAGGTTGAAGGAGAAGAAAGGAGGGGGCACCTGGAGTTGAACCAGGGACCTCTTGATCTGCAGTCAAATGCTCTGCCACTGAGCTACACCCCCTGGCTTCGCACCTTTCACAAGGAGATTTTAAAAACGTTTCTGCAGAGGGCCGAGGTTCTATGTCCGCTGGTTAGAGACTCTTACTTGACAGCCCCCCGCGCACCTTCACGTGCCTGCCGAGGGCTGTACCGGGAGTTAGGCAGAATGAATTATGATAAATACGATTACTGCAGAGAATTAAGAACTCAGAAAAATACACCCAGACAGGGAGCAGTTACTCACACGGTGCACAGCCCCTGCGGTTCCCCGATACTGGGGGCCTCGGTACCTCGAATAACGGAGCTCAGAAAGCAGCCCTCGCTGCACAGCACAAGCTCACAAGACCCAAGGAGATGTCTCCATCCTCCTTCTGTGCCAAATTTGGCAAAAGGAAGGTTGAAGGAGTAAGGAGGAGGGGGCACCTGGAGTTGAACCAGGGACCTCTTGATCTGCAGTCAAATGCTCTGCCACTGAGCTATACCCCCTGGCTTTGCACTCGTACAAGGAGCAATAAAAATCTTGATACGTAGCTCAGTTTTTACGTGCGCTGGCCAGATCGTGCTCTATGACAGCACCCTCTCTTGCATGCTCACGTACAAGGAAAATTGCGCGCAGAAAGTTCCTGCAGACCATCTGGAGACAAAGACACCCAGGCAGGGTCTAATTACGCACGCCAACTGGATCCCCAGCAGCTTCCTCACTGGTCAGAACAGCTACTGCTGTGGCCGAGCAACCGCCATTGTGCCTCTGCTTCCTCACCGACACGGGTATTGATTTTCAGGGAAGCGTTTAGCTGAGCGCTCAGTATCTTGAATACTGAAGTTGAGAGACCTGCCTTCTGCGCACAGCACAAGCACAGCGGACCTAAAAGCGAGGAACGCGCCCACCTCTTTCCTGGAAAAAGCCAAAGGGGGCACCTGGAGTTGAACCAGGGACCTCTTGATCTGCAGTCAAATGCTCTGCCACTGAGCTACACCCCCTGGGCGCAGCACCCTCGCAAGGAGGTTTTAAAAGCGTTCCTACAGAGAGCCGAGGTTCTGTATCTGCTGGTCAGACTCTCTTACTCGACAGCCCCCCGCGCACCTTAACGAGCCTGCCGAGGGCTGTACAGAGAACTACTGCAGAGAGTCAAGAGCAGAGACAAGTACACACAGGCAGGGAGCAGTTACGCACACGGTGCACAGCCCCTGCGGTTCCCTGATACTCGGGGCCTCGGTACCTTGAATAACAGAGCTCAGAAAGCAGCCCTCGCTGCACAGCACAAGCTCACAAGACCCAAGGAGATGTCTCCATCCTCCTTCTGTGCCAAATTTGGCAAAAGGAAGGTTGAAGGAGAAGAAAGGAGGGGGCACCTGGAGTTGAACCAGGGACCTCTTGATCTGCAGTCAAATGCTCTACCACTGAGCTATACCCCCTGGGCGCACACCTGGCAACTCACCAGCAAAACGACATTTTAAAGTGTGTTCTTGCCCAATCTTCGACCCCTCCGCTCTGTGGGAGCCAAATCCTGCTGCAGAAATTGCAAGACCGAAGCGCGACAGCAGCAAGGACAGTGAGTCGCCGCGCTCCAACACAGGAGACGGAGACCGTCTCCGCTCGTCATTTACCAGGCGACCTTGGCCCAGCTGCTCTCCATCCCTCCCTCTCTTTCCTCTCCTAGCTGCAGTCTGTTCTCTGAGGAGACTGGAACTTGACGCGGCGACTGCCCGAGAGCCTTGGGCGTTCTCCCCACGCTTTCTAGCTCCGACCGTAACGTGAAAAAGAATTCTTGGGAGGGGAAGCCGAGCTGGTCCCGCCAGTTAGCCCTCCAGCAAACAAACGCCCCCAAAATCCCAAGAAAAGGTGGGCTGGGAGGGGGCACCCGGATTTGAACCGGGGACCTCTTGATCTGCAGTCAAATGCTCTACCACTGAGCTATACCCCCGGCGCCTGCCCTGCACCTGCCCGCCCGGCGGGAATCTCCCTGCGGATCTCTGGCACAGCAAAGTTCTGCAAATGAATCCCGGGACAAAAGGCAGCTTCTCCCGAAACGCTCGTCTCTCCCCTCACAAACACCCCGCCGACAGTCCTCTTCTCTCGTGCGAACCTGCTTCTCCACCTCCGCCCAGCACCCCATCAACCCGGGGACGCAGCCTGCAGACAGTTTGTGGGAGAGGCGTTGAAACGAAGAGCCCCAAACCAAGGTTTCCTGGATAAAAAGGAGGAAAAGGGAGGGGGCACCCGGATTTGAACCGGGGACCTCTTGATCTGCAGTCAAATGCTCTGCCCCTGAGCTATACCCCCACCTGTGTGCGGGTGCCAGGGACGGCTCCTTGTGGGCAGTGACAAGGCGGCTCTGCTGCATTCCACTGCCTGTGCTCACCGCACCTGCAGCGCTGCCTCCCACACACAACAGACCTCCCATTACCCCTCAGTTTACCTTAACCCCTCCCCAGGACGCTCGCCACCCTTGCGAGAGCCCCAGACAGGCTCCTGGGGGCCGAGCTAACGAGCTCCCAGTTCTCTCTCTCTCTCAGAAATGTCCCATCGTCCAGAAGGAAAAAGGAACCCTTTGAAACGCTGACGAAGGCGCTCGGCTGCACCTCTCTCTGCTCTCGGGGCGCGCCCCGCCATCGGGGAGCACGCCAGCCTCGCAGAGGAATCACCTGCCGCAACACCCCACCACGCTGCCCGCAGCCTCTCTGTCTTCCCCAGCCGGCTGCCCAGGGGCAGGGGACAAGGGAAAACAAACACCCAAAGCGTTTCATCCAGCTATCGTGCCGTGCCCTGCCTCAAAAGGCGGCTTCACAAATCGAAAAGCCAGCACGAGCTGTTAGAATAGATCAAGGGAGAACACCTTTATTTCAGCGGTGGTTTCTTACTCGTAAGCAGGTCTCTGCATCTCTCCCCGGGTCCGAGGAACAGCTCCTTCGTCACCGGTGGACCGGAAAGGTGGTCACCGCTCGGAAAGGAAGGGACCGACTTCAGCCGCCGGTTTGGAGCGCTGCGCTGACGGCCAGAGCGCCCGTTGTACCCTTCCGGGGGTTCCAGGTCTGCTGGGAAGAAGCCACGACCGCTCGCCTGCTCCGTGGAAGGGCCTGCAGAGAAGAGAGCTGCCCCCAGTCCGTGCAAGTCCTTTCCCAAGTTTCCCCTCCCCAGCTGCTGCCAGCGCGCAGCTCCCGATCATCCGGCCGGAACGGCTGAGCAGCAGAAATTTTTAGGCCACAACATTTTGCAGAGTCATGTCGGTTGGGCCAAAGAGCTGCTTAAAAACACCACCACTTTACAAACCACTGCAAGACCCTGGTGCTCTTGTCCGTCATTACCTGTTTGTGCTACGAAAATCTCTGAGGCTTTTCTCCCTTCAACCCCTCCTTCCTGCACTGAAAACATTAGGAGTAGCACAACAGTATCTCAGAGATCTCTACGGGAGAAGTGAAGCACGCTGTGAGAAGAGGTAAGTGCCAGGGCAGATGGAGACAAGCCCGGCCACACCAGGGGCTGCCTGAGGTACGAGCCGCAGCCAGTCCCAGGAGCCGAGCAGCCCCCTATCACCTGCCCCGTGGCCCGCAGCAGCACGCATGCTCGGGTCAGTCTGGGCTACGGGGCACCAGGACCATGATCTCCAGGACGGAGTCACCCCTATTTTCACTCGCAAGCCCAGGTACAAGGCAGCCTCCCTGCCCCTCCAGTGGCCCTTGCTCAGGAGGACCGGAAAACAAGCTGACCTGCAGTTCACATCCGAATACGTTCCTCTGCTTCAGCCAGAGGAACACCAGGAAAATCACAAGCAACTTCACATTGCGTAAGGAAGCTTCTGCACAGACATACCTTCCGACTCTGGTCTTGGAAGCCTTTCAGCTGATCTTCAAAGTTCTAATCACCCCTTCTATCTGCAATTAACAGCCTGCGATCTCGGGGCCTGCTTCACCGCTGATGGAGGGTTTAGGGGCACGTGCTTCAGCCACGACCTCGGCCAGCAGCAGCGGGCTTCACGTGTCCTCGCACGTCTTCAGCAAGGTCTAAAAAAACATTCTTCAGAGCTCGCTGTCCGGAATGAACTCTGCAGCTCACAGCACACATCAGTTTCAGGCAGTATTCGCCCCCCCCAGTATTCCCCCCCCCACCCCACCCCCCCCGAATCAGACCAGTATCTCTAAGCAGTTAAATTGCCCGTTCTGGAACAAAATGCCAGACCTACAATTCTGAGAGCCCCTGTACGAAGGTTTCTTGTAGAAGGGCTTCCAGTTTCTATCCGTGCATACCGAAATCCGATCAGTTCAGTCAATATTGCCAAAATTTAAGTCATTCCAGTGCAACCCCCTTCCAGGTGTTTTCCAGTAATACAGGAACCTGCCCGAAGAAGAGACTCGTCATTGGATATCCAAACTCCAAATCCCGTTTGCCTGCCGAAGCGGACATCCACACAAGGAGTTGCGTAAAAAGGTGTCCCAGAACTAACTCCCTCATAACACTGTCCCGCCCGGCAGGGGAGAGCGCTTTGGCAAGAAAGACACTACTTGTTTGGTACAAGGACTTTTATTTTATCTCTGCGAAGACGAACGCGCTCACGCAATGCTTCCCGCGTTGGAGGCTATCCTGGGCCACAGATCGGCACACTCCTTGGCCACAGGGCCTGTGATCGCAGAGCCTGGAAAAGAGAAAAAGACGACGGCGCGTTAAGAGGACCCAGTTGGCACAGGCGGTGCAGGGCGCCGTTTTACACAGACACTAGCTCAGCCCGACTGCGCTCTCCTCACTCTGAGGAGGACCCGGGTCCCTTTGCCCAGGAGGGCACAGCCCTCCAACCGGCAGTGCCGACCCACCGCCCCGCGTTCCCCTTTCGCCCAGCCCAACAGCGTTCTTGCCCCTACCTTTCATTTCACCTTTATTATTTACTATCACTCCCGCGTTGTCTTCAAAATAGAGGAACACCCCGTCTTTTCTCCTGTACGATTTCCGCTGCCGAATGACCACCGCTGGGTGGACTGCAAAGAGAAAGGAGCAGCTCGGTACCGCAAGCATCGTGTTAAGCGCACAGCCCAGCGACACGAGACCCCAGCGGAACTGCTGTGCTGCAGCATCTAACTCAACGCGCGGGTTTGGGGGGGTTTGGGTTTTTTTTGCATCTCATGTTTGCGGCGCTTCACTAAGAGAAGCTGCAGTTTATAGTCAATAGTGCACGGAGAACTGGCCGTGTGACGCTTACGGCTGCGTCTACGCTTGGACAACTCGGTGTTTTTCCGCTTCCCCACCTTTATTTCTAAATACACCATCAATTCACAGACAACGTTCAGCAAGAACTCCTCCCTTCCCCTCCAGAGCAGCAGCAAACCGTCTTTTCCAAGGCCGGCTGTCACACCACCGATTGAAATAAACAGCACAGGCTGCCACTTCACCCAAAAGCGATGCTTTTGCTCTGCCCTTCCACGACAACTCGCTGAGCCACTGCACACAGACCCAGCGAGTGCTTTTTAGAAGGGCGGAGGCGACGCTCCAGACATTTGGTGCCAGAGTCCTGCTCTGCCCTTCCACGACAACTCGCTGAGCCACTGCACACAGACCCAGCGAGTGCTTTTTAGAAGGGCGGAGGCGACGCTCCAGACATTTGGTGCCAGCCTCCTGCGGGGGTTCGAGGGAGGGACCGCCCTCCCCTCCGATGAGCGGCCTGCCTCTGCACCCC